TTTTTTTTTTTTTTTGGTCTCGAAATTTCAAAATTTGACATTTTTCTTCGTTGAGGGGGGGGGGGGTAGGGTCACCTTCTTTAGGTTAGCCGTGGGTATAATTTCTTTTTTTTCTTTTTTTTTTTTTTAATTAAAAAAAAAAAATTCAAAGGGTGGGGGGATTTTAGGTTTTTTTAGGGGGGTTTACATACATAAAAATACCAAAGGGGGGGTTGAATCCCCAAACCCCCCCCCCTGCGTACGCCCCTGTGATATAGTATAATATTGAAGCCCTAACAAATTGCGCTTCAAAATTACCATTAAGTGCCTCAAAAAGTTAAAATCATTAAGTGGTCGGTTTTACCATATAAAAAAAAAATTCAAAGGGGGGGGGGGATTTTAGTTTTTTTTAGGGGGGTTTACATACATAAAAATACCAAAGGGGGGGTTTGAATCCCCAAACCCCCCCCCCCCCCTGCGTACGCCCCTGTGATATAGTATAATATTGAAGCCCTAACAAATTGCGCTTCAAAATTACCATTAAGTGCCTCAAAAAGTTAAAATCATTAAGTGGTCGGTTTTACCATACTCATTTTTCCCAATAGACTGTAGTGTAATAAAAACTTTTTGGCAAACAGTATTTGAAATTTCGAATTCCAGTCATTAATATCTTGATAATCAGACAGGCGATCGGCTTCTAAAAGTCATGGATTCCTGAATCCTGACTGACCTAAAGGTTATAATGATGATTTCAGCATTAGGTGAATCCAGGATTTTGTTTAGAATCTGAGATAAATAAACCCAATCCCTTTAATATAAATTCATCCATAAGCACACCTTGAGATACAATCAAAGATCATAAATATTGTTATCATGAATGTTTGTCCACTTTCCTTGCATTAACAACGATACAAATGAGGAATGTAATATAAGGCTTTTAACAATACATACAACGATGTATCATATTTACTTGTTCACACCGTTTTTGTGATATGAATAAATTTCCTATGGAGCGTGAGTTTAACTGTTATTGTCTATGTTTCGTATCTTCATTACATTTTTTGTTGCTATGGAGCTCAGGAGAAAAAATTAGTTGTAAACTGTAGCCAATTGTAACTCGTACACAGAGCTCGTTGGTGCCACAAATTGCTCGAAGGTTAATGACCAAAATATTGTTTCCTTCAGTAAGAGATGAAAGTTATAATGCCACAATAAGCTTTGTCACAAAGCTCTCCCCTCTTCGAAATATCTGTTCTCGCGCGGAATTTCCAAATTCTAAAGTTCCTATTATGATATTTTTAGATTTGTCGATTCACCCTACCCCCCATGTCTACCATAGATAAGATATCTTTACGTCTTCTCACCAAGTAGTACACCAATAACGATTTTTTTTTTTGTCTTATAAATCATTAACTAACATGTACTCTACCCTCGCAATGATCATTAAGGCTTTTGAAAAAAATACTTCAGAATATTAATTTAGGGGGAGTGTTATGGTTGTTGTCATGGTTATTAATGTTATACGTCATCAGAATACGCCAATCTATATAAAAACAACCCTTCCTTCCGAACGAATCACTAAGATTGAACTCGCAGGCTTACATGGTCGTCCGAAATTTAATTTTACGGCCTCGTATAATTTTCAATTCCCAGAGGACTGTTTTATTTTGGAATACATTACCAACAAATATCAGAGGTAAGTTTAAATATCAGTGCTATCCTGACGCATCTTAAAGTTTAACATCTCAAGTTCTAGTTCTAGCCACAAAGAACTCATTTTTAACTAATCATTTGAATCAAATTAACAAAATATATTCATCAAATTTGAAGAACAAAATGTTTGCCTCTCTAGGTTACAATCTTCACGAAAAATATAAGTTGAAAAATGGGTTGGTGTAATAACCACGAAATCATCCATCAATTTTAGATGAGAGTATGAATAGATGAGCGACGATCATACTATCAAAATTAAGGGACAAAATAAGGTAAAATACATTTTCGATTGTCTGAAGGGTCTTCCAAACAGATACATCGTGTTTCCCGACTTTTATTTTTTAATGACAGCCCGTCCTCCCCACCCCACCCGAACTCTTACTTACATTTTTATTTAAAAGAAAAATGAAAGGTTTTTGCATTATTCGTCTCGATTATTATTCGTAAAAGAAAGTTCGTTTAAGTACGCCACTTTTGAATAAATATTTAAGGCAAAATAGAGAAAACAACATTGACAGCCAATGGGAAAAATACCTCTTTCAAAAAACAAAAAAAAGTCTCTTTCCTTTTTATTGCTATTTGTAAAAATATACAGGAGTATGAATACAAAATAACAATTCTGTATCTTAGGGTTCCATTATCTATAATCTATATACGTCGGAGCCACGAGTTTTTGTCTTAACCAATTCTCTTTACGCTGGCACCTGAATTAAAATTTAAGACTCAATGCAAGATGTGTATTCTTCAAATAAGTTGGCGTAGTATTTTTATCCATGGTAATTCTCTAAAAACGAAACTCGTCCAAGAATATGGGTACACCCTTTAAAATATTAATTGAAACAAAGTGAAAACGAAAACAGTAAACCGAGAGATTTGTTTGGATGTAAAAGAGGCTACGATATAAATTATTTTTAAATTGTATTTTTTGTCTACTTTGGGTAACGGCTTTAGCAGCGCAAAATATGGATATACCAAGTCGATTGTCCCCATAATTATAACTAATTTGATAGAATTTAGGATATTAAGATAGTTGAACATTTGATACGGAGGTCCGTCTTCCAATGTAAGCTTTATATTTTTGGCGGGCCGCATCGAGTCGGCTGGGGGCCACTTATTAAGAACCAGCATTTAGAGAAATGCCCTTCAATTTGTGAATCAATTTTTAAGAGAATAATAGGTCTCATTATGCGAATGATAAATTATTCTCATGTAAATCATTCAACCATGCCGAATATCCAAACCATAGTAACTGTTAGTTAATTAATCAATCAACTCACTTATTATACTTATTAATAATCTCTTCTTCCTCTAGACTGACACATCTGTGCAACAATATCATTGTTTCTCTTTCTCTCCTTTCTGTCTCGTCTACCCCCTCACTCTCTCTCTCTGTTTCTCCTTATGTTATTATATGACTATGATATACACGAATTTTTGGTCATTTTATTTTGACAGGGAAGCCCTCTCAGTTATACAACAAAACTGCAAAAGGGGCTCTGTATCAAAATAATCCAAAAAATATTTACAAAACATATAAACATATATAAGTTATAATGAGCACACAAATTAAACAAGATATAATGTTAAAATGAGTGGGGGATATAATACTCATGTTCATATAAGTATCAAGTATAATTTAAATTATGTGAGGGAAGGAGTTCGTAGTGTTCTTTAAATGAATCCAGTGAGTTTAATAAACGTAAAAAATGCATTCCATATAATGGAGCCTTGGTAACAGAAAGATCTTTTGAAGTGCTCGGTTCTGTGTTATCAATGTATGTACAGATTTGTAATTTTTGGGGGGTGATTTTGCTTTGTATTCTTCATGCAATTCAGCCCTTGTGCTGCTATGTGAATTCTTTTGAATGAATCCCAATTCAATTCAATTCAATTTAATTCAAATAAACTGCCGAATTTATCCCGGGTTCGACGCCAAATTAGCCTAACATGTCTTTTACGTTCACATCATCGAATAAACGTGCTCTTCTAAATCATTAACGCACGATTTAGCATGTGGTTTAGCTCTGCTACAACTGCCCCATACTCACTTGAAGGGGCGAAGGGGAACCTTTGCCATCCCACACAGATACACAAATATTTAATTGGTTAGAGTTTTTCCCAAATTTAGTGAGGTTTCCAAACAAATTGTGGGTCATCATTGTTACATTGCCCATGAACATGTTGAATTGCAAAAGATATGGATTTTTTTTTAAAGCATTTTTTGCTAAATCATAATGGAACCTTTCATGGAAGCTAGGGTGACACTCAATGCCTTAAACAAATATTTCAAAAATGATTGCAATGCAAGGTTCAATAGCGAGGTGACGTATTCTCATCCGCATTTGAGCACACAAAAATTCGGTCCCAAAAGATCGATGGCTGTTCTTTTTGTCATCAAAAGGTACATCTTTATCATATTAAACGCTTCACAAAGGGTACGATATCCATGTAGGTCCATCTTCTGAACAATTAATGCTCACAAGGCGGCATTCTAGCAAATTAAATAAAAACAATTAAAACAAGTATAGGAGACCGGCCTTCAAAAAAGTAAACAACAGACATAAGATGTTAGAGAAAAAGTCCATTATACCTGAACCACTTTAATGGGCATAGGGGCAAAATTTTGGATGAGGGCGGATCAACTTTTTTATGAATATTGTGGACGAGCAATTTTGACATTGCCTGAAAAGGTAACATTCACTTTCAATCTTTACTGTACGAAGAATCACTTGACTTGAGGAAGTCTACATAAGTCAATGAAAGGTTGCCTTATAAGTCGTTAGGTTGGTAGAAGTCTACATTACATGTATCTACCCCCCTTCACATTCTGTGGGGTGGAAAACTTTTACCAAATTGATGGTAAAGCTGTTGATTGTCTGGTTCTCAAAATTCTTTCTTATATTTTCTTTCTCTCCTTTTCCTAGTACGGAATGGCCCAACTACCAGAGATGAGGCTGCACGAGCTGATCGTTTTGTTTATTATAACAATAATTAACAGACCGATAGTGATAACTGCCAATTCCACCGTGTTAACTTTGTCGACAACAGATGCTATTAGAACGGTTACTATAACAGACTTTCTAAGCTCAGATACGCTCACGACAATGCAAGTTACTACATCATCGCCAGCGAGTGCTACCCAGAGCATGACCACTTTATCAGATCCGTCAACAACTGAATTACACACCACTGGCGTAGCCACACCGGAAACAACTTCTAATCCAGGTACACCAGTAACCCATGATACAAACGCAACAACAACAGCAACATATAATCATACAAGTGCACTAACAACAGGACTAGCATCCATGTCAACTCCAGATCCAACTGTACCGGCAGCAACATTATCAACCGTAGCATCTGGCAGAAGTGCACCAACAACACCACTAGGAGCATCTGATCCAGGTGTGATAACAGGAACACAAGAAACTATAGGTCCAAGTGCAACAACTTCAGGGACAACCCTCGATCCGAGTGCATCAACAGTAGCATCCGAAACTCCTGATCTAAGTGCACCAACAGCATCAGGAACCCCCGATCCAAGTGCACCCACAGTGGCACCAGAAACCCCTGATCCAAGTGCACCAACAGTGGCACCAGAAACCCCTGATCCTAGTGTATCAACAGTGGCACAAGAAACCCCTGATCCTAGTGTATCAACAGTGGCACCAGGATCCCCTGATCCAAGTGCACCAACAGTGGCTCCAGAAACCCCTGATCCAAGTGCTCCCACTGTGGCACCAGAAACCCCTGATCCAAATGCACCAACAGTGGCACCAGAAACTCCTGATCCTAGTGTATCAACAGTGGCACAAGAAAACCTGATCCAAGTGCACCAACAGTGGCACCAGAAACCCCTGATCCAAGTGCACCTACAGTGACATTAGAAACCCCTGATCCAAGTGCTCCCACAGCAGCACCAGAAACTCCTGATCCGAGTGCGCCAACAGCAGCACCAGAAACCCCTGATCCAAGTGCTCCAACAGCAGCACAAGAAACCCCTGATCCTAGTCTATCAACGATGACTACTACACGTGAAGAGTCTACTACAGCGAAGGATCCTACCACAAATCCCCTTGAGGAGCCACTATCCGGTGGTGCTATCGCAGGAATTGTCATCGGGTCATTAGTAGGAGCTGCTGCCATCGCAGGTGGTATTGGATTTGCTTTGTATTATTTCAAATACATGAAAGGTGGTGCCACAGTTACTCCGAGCGATCATGCTAATGGCGATATGAACATGACGGGTATGGAGGAAGGATCGATGACAACAGGAGCTGCTAATGCAGGTGACAATTCTAATCTGATTGACGAGAATTCCGGGAAGTGAATTTAATAGCAACATTCGTCTCTTTTAGGGCCAATATATATATAAATTTAACACAGAGTTGACGCTCTTTTAAAGTGGAGTATTAACGATCAGGTAGAGCGTAAATTGGCGTGGGGTCTAGGGCCTGAGCTCCGGCAGGGGGTCAAGGGGCTGAGGCCCCGGAAGCTCTGGGTTTTTAGGCATTAAATTACGGTCAGAAAAGCATATTTAGATACCTTACTTGTGACACTGGCAGGTCACTAATTGGCGGGGGAGTCCAGGGGCAGAGCCCCGGAAGCTCAGAGTTTTTTAGGTATTTAATTACGATTAGATGAACATCCAGGGGCCCTCTTTAAGGCCGTTGATGTGGTCCAGGGGGCAGAGCCCCTGAAAGCTCGGAGTTTTTAGGTATTTAATTACGGTTAGTTGAGCATCCAGGGGACCGCCTTAGGGCCCTTGGTGGGGTCCGGGGGCAGAGCTCCCGTAAGCTCTGGGGTTTAAGGCATTCGATTAGGGTTAGATGAGCATATTTTGATAGCTCATTTGTGACACTGGCAGGTCACTTATCTTTCCCTTCTCTCTCCTTCTTTCTTTTTATCTGAACATAATATTTCAAAAAGTGAGAGGGGCTCGAGCCCCCGAGCCTAGTGGTTCAGCAGGCTCTAACATGAAGGCTTTTTAATAAGCATAATTTTCGCCCTACTGTTAATTTGGGAAATTCTAATTTTCCAACAAACGCATAAAAATGTATGACTTCCAAAAAAAATGAGAAAAATACCGGAAATTAATTTGTCATTTTAGTAACATTTGTAAATAAGTGGTATCGAATAAGAAATACCCCCCCCATTAGTACACCAGCGTTCAGGGGCTCATGTCTTCTCACCCCTATAACAAAAAACACAAACGCTTTTCCATCCTCTCACAATATTTCCACGAAATGCGCGTATCGATATATAAAAACGTATAAAAACTTCCATTGGTATTATATAGATGGCATGCGGAATGTTTAGGAAATTTAATTCCTGTTAACATTCCTTTTCTTTGAATGGAATTTTGTATGTGATTTTTTTGGAAGGGGGCGTTTGGCGTTTTGGGCGTTTGGTAAAACGCATTTTTGCCCCCCCCCCCCCCCCCCCATTTCCGGCGCCTAGGCATGGTAATCGATTCTGCACACTAAAAAATAAACAGTGCTTGGTCGGTACATAGCCTTTATGCCATGTTGAGGTGGGGATTCGAGATTCGAGATTTTATAATAAAAGTATTTCTAAATCATTTCCAGGTGGTTTTTATGTGGAAAATTTATAATGTCTCATATTAACAAGCCTTTAGTATGACAGTTTTATGTCCTTAATTGTTGCACTAGGATTGCTTTCATTTTAATAGTGTGTGAAAGTTAAAAAAAATAATAACCTTGTGCTTGCTTATTACGAATATGTGTTTATTAGCCTAAGTTAAGTTAAGGTATGTGATAATTCTATAAGCTATAGTATGTCTGACTATTTTAAATATGTCATGTTATAATGTAAGACGTTATTAATGTATCCACAAATCAACTATTATATATTGTACCCTCCTGTTGCCAATTTGATGTTATTATATTGTAATGATTTTTATAAGATAGATCTTTATTTCATACATGAAAAGCTATCAAATATTTTATTGTCTTTCAAATAAGGTTTGTTTGTACATAGTTATTTGAGTAACAAAGAGATTATTGTATTGTTATAAAAATTGCATGATGATGATAAGGATTTATGATGTGTAGACCATGTACTTGATTTGCGTCACAAATATATTATTTCACTTTTATAGTGGCAAAATTATTTGATGTTTCGTAATTAATGATGATAAACAGGCTTCTTTTATTCAATCGGGTCTACGAGTCGGGACGGTTATTCGGGCTACACTATATTTTGTAAAACAGGCCCCTGTTATTCACGAAATGTCGGGTAAACTGATTGGAAATAATTCCTTTCCTTTTCCAATAATGATGGTTCTTGAGTTAAAGATAATTTGTTTACATGTACATTATTATTAGAATAGAACCACAAATATTAGTGGCAAAAATAATATATTCTGACTGGTTTCCGAACAAAATTGAAAAGTAACAAAATGAGTTGTGAAAACATACAATAACGTTGTTGTTGCTGCGATTTTTTAGTTTTTAGGCGTGTATCATTCAGTTGTTAATATTCACGCCTATCGTATCCACCTGTTACGGACTGTGTAGATCACTAGCCTTTTTACGAACTGTAATGGATATTATTATGAATAATCGCGGAAGAGGTTTACGGTACACCATGTGTAAAGTCCTAGAAGGACTAAGGAAAATGGATAGAAATAGAAGTGAAATGGAAAGGCGAGAAAGTGGAGGTTGGAAGGAAGAGTATCTTTCGGAAGTGAGATACTATTATGAATGTTATTGAGCTGTCGTTTTATCAAGCAATCTGCTTCTATACAATAACAGTCCTTCCTGCGCAAATCATTTTTAATGTTTGAGGAAATTTAGTATTTATGACCGTTTATCATTTCGTTTTTGAAAATAAGAATTATTATATGCTTCAATGTCAGCAAAAGTACTTATTTTACTTTGTATTATTAGTGTTATCGAAAAGCTGTGTACTTACATGAATGCGGAAGAGAGTCAAATCAATTCAAAAAGATGTTTAGCTCGTATTCGAAAGTGTCAGGTCGAGACGCAATTACGCATAGGAAAGTCCGAACATTACAGTGACGTAATCAAAACGTTATTTTGGATTACATGGTGGCTCAGTGGTTAGAGCGCCCGCCTCATGTACGGGAGGTCGTGGGTTCGAACCCCGGCCGAGTCATACCAAAGACTTAAAACAATGGGACCTTCCGCCTTCTAGCTATAGGCGCTCAGCATATTAGATTGGAGAAGGGTAGTAATAATAACATATTATGTTATGCAGGGCCCGCTGGAAGAGCAGTTTCATAAACTGAAGTGGCTACCCTGGGTAAATAGAACGTTATTTTCATTATTATTTATTTGTCGAAAAATTTTGCGATCGTGTTATAAAATTGTCAAATAATTATAATTTGCTGCTTAAAAAATGTTATCTAATGTCTACAAATATATAAATATATATTTTTTAATAATACAGTTGAACCAAAATATTCATGTGACAGCTATTCGGATAATCCGTACATGTTTTCCGACTGTCAAGTGTATATATCTGAAAGGAAGATAAAATAAACTAGCTGCACTGGGTCAAATTGTAAATAATTTTGTTTCAAATAATTGTCATATTATCTTAATTTTCCTAATTTTTCCTATTATTTGTTTCACATCAGGATGAATCACATTTAAAGCTGAGCGAGTCATTTCATTTATTGTACAATTTGTATTTAGGTTGGAATATAAGATTATGTTGCAGTGTATAATATGAGAAGAGCAAATAAACAGAGATTGACTTATGTATACATTAACGAGAATTTGGTTGCTTTATTTTTTTTGTAAATTATTCACTAAAAATTGTTATTTCTTATAGGCGTGCAAGGCTCATTTATACGGTCACACAACCAGAAAAACCTTGTACGTTGCTATTTCATTTGATTTATTTTCATTTCCGAACATAAAATAGACAATACAACATGTTGACACGTGCGGCGTATGGTTGGAAATAAGTTTAAACAAACTTTCAATGAATGTGATCGCGTGACCGGTAATTAAACTTTACCTTTGACATTGTTAACATTTTTAGAAATGACAGTTGAAAAAGAAATGTTGAAAATTCGTCTGCAATCCACATACATATGAAGAAAAAAAATTAAAAAATGATATGATGTTTTCATGTTTGAGGAATTAATAGGGAAAAAAGAATCAATGTAAGAGATACTGAATGAAAGTGGGTTGTCGGTCAAATGAATCCTCTGAGGCAAAATACAAGAATACCTACAAAGCCGCCATTGTCAATCGTATGGCTAGTCAAAGGATGTTGGACCGATGTTCCTGTCGGTATCGTGATCCTTAAAGAATGGACAGACGTCCTACCTCTCACGAGATCACCATTTTCGATCCATCTGGGTGTCAGTCTAACCGGATGTATACATTTTTAAAGGTTCATGACTTTATTGATATTTCTGAGATGTATTACCGGTTCTAATTGTTTGTTTAGGTAGGTTTGCCCTTTGCTTAAAGGTGTGGATATTTATCCCTTCGGAACGACATAAATTAAACAAACAAGTCGGGTGCAGGCAGGTTGTACAAATTCTATCATATTTCATCTGCCTTGATACATTATCCCTTATAAAGATATGGCATTGATACTATAACCCAATTATTAGCACCAATAAAAAAAATATTTAGAAATGTTATCGCATGCTTTATTATTAGCACATACTTGTATAAAAGCGGTTTACCAATTTAGTGTTTTTTTACAACAGTTCCACAGGAGTGTTTTGGCAATTGTTATGGTGATGTTTATCTCACGTGACCGAATCATAAATGTACCACACACATATCGCCCTGCTCTCACCAAGAATCCCTCAGTTTGGATTATATGGTTGTCTGACACGTTTTGTTTTTTGTGTCTCATCCGATAAAATACACTACATCAAGAGGATTTCTCTAGTTTCGAATACATCAAGATAAAGGTAAGTTTGAACTAGTAGTAGGTCTTATCCATCGTGAAAAGAGAGCAATATGGGATATTAAATGACATTTTTGCACCTGAAATAGGATTATTCCTTTTGAGAGTGTTTTAAATTTGAATATATTTACAATTGACAGGTATTTTATCTTGATTATTGAGAACGTAATACAAAGCAAAAACACAGAATTATTTTATTATAATTAATTAATTATAACATTATTCATAATTTCTAATTATGAAATAAATACCCGAAAAAATATTACTCCCCCAAAATGAAGGGTAAAACTAAAGTGACGGTATGTTGCAAACATTGACACCATAATCCTTGTCTTAACCTTAAAGTGTCGTCAAAGATTAGCTCCTGCTTATTTGATTGAAATGCTTACCTCAGATCTTCAGTTCTTCTCAAAAGTGTCATTACTACCCCTCAAATAAACACAAAGTTGTATAGGTCAGGATCTTTTTCAAAAGGTTCTACCAGAAGAGCTTTTGAATAAATTGCCAGAAATTATTTTAAAAACGTGATATAGGTGACTATAAGTTTCAAGTTTCAAGTTACGTCTTGCACTTTATAAGCACCGTTTTTTATTATTATTATTACTATTCAAAAACAATTTCCAATGTTAACTAATTACTTCAGTAAGTATGTTGAGCGTATTTTTACCTTCAAACCGTTTTTAATAAATTTATTTCTCTCTATTGCAGCGCATAGGAAGATATTTGTGATAATATGTCCGGTAAAAGTTGTTTATGTTATTATTAATATTATCCCAAGCTGTGTCTCTCTCAAATTAACCTCCAAATGGACACTTCGATTAAGGTTTTCATTCGAATGCAAAATATAATTTGTTTTCAAGAATTATTCTTCCCCTTAAGAGGGATAACTCTCAAAGAAAGTTCGTGAATGAAAAAAGTTAATACTGAGGTATTCCATTTAAAAGAATTCTTTAACCGAAAGACAAAATGATCACACCGCGAAAATGTGCAGAAAATGAACCGTCAGAAGATGGAGGGAGTGTCCTTGAGACTGACATGTCGGTCTTCTGGGCCGTCGGGTATCAAGACTGTACCCACAGTGAACAATAGATACACGGCCGATTACAAAGGGTGTCAAATGTCAAATCAAGGTTTTAAGCACACTTGATTAACTGTCAACAAATTATGTCAAGCATAGATTACCAATTACTCGCAAGATGCAATTGTTGCATGATCACAATGACTGATCATGTTCAATGCAACCCTATGATTGAGATATAGAAGTTTGAACTATACGGACCAGAAAAGGGTCAATTGATGCCTACTGCTTTGTGCAAAAATGCACGTGTGGCAAATGAGCTACCGTGCAGAGGGGCGACGAAAGCAACCGAAGTGTTAAGTTTCTGTATATGAAAACATGGAGATACATTTACAGGTACCTGTTCGACCTACATGATCATTAGGGTGCATGTGCTTAGTAAATACGTTGACTTTGTCACTCATCATTCGAACAACTAAAGCAGCACGCAGCAAAACGTAGGATCCTATAGTTGTGTTGAGATAGTAAATTCTCTAATGTCTCCATTTTGTAAATTCGTATTCAATCTCTTTCTCAATACAGAATGGCGCGACTATTGGAGAAAAGGCAGCATGGCGTGGTCGTTTTGTTTGTTATAACAGTAATTTACAAATCGATCATGATAACTGCTCAAACAACCTCTCCATCAAGTGCAGCAACGGTAATTACAGAATTGGATACAGCACCTTTTGGTAGCACAGATACATCATTCACAACAGATGTAACAACGGCTCACCGGAGCGGCACCACTGCATCAAATTCTGCAACAGCCGTACTATCAACGACAAGCGCAAGTACATTGCCAACGACTACAGCGGATCCTTTCACGTTTTTGTCAACCACTGCAACTGCCATAACAATGACACAAACAGATCCAAACACAGGTACAACAGTCACAATGGCTCTAGATAGAAGTACATCGAAAGTCGTAACTTCTGTTTCGGGACAACGTACAACAGCGCCAGTGACAGTTGATACAAATGAATCAACGACACCAACAGATATTGACAGGACCACTGATCAACATACTTCAACAACAATGTCTGCAAACCCTGACACCAGTGAGGCGGTCCTAGTAACAGAAACTGTTGATCCAAGTGATCCGAATTCACCAACAGTAACACAAGAAACTCCTGATCCAAGCGTACCAACAGCAGCACAAGAAACTCCTGATCCAAACGCGCCAACAGCAACACAAGAAACTCTTGATTCAAGTGCACCAACAGCAGCACAAAAAACTCCTGATCCAAACGCGCCAACAGTAACACAAGAAACTCCTGATCCAAACGCGCCAACTGCAGCACAAGAAACTCTTGATCCAAGCGCACCAACAGCAGCACAAGAAACTCGTGATCCAAGTGCATCAACGATGACTACTAGACGGGAAGAGATGTCTACTGAAGCGAAAGACACAACCATAAGCCCTTCTGAGGAGCCGATCTCGGCTGGTGCTCTCGCAGGAATCATCATAGGATCATTAGTAGGAGCTGCTGCCATCGCAGGAGGTGTTGGATACGCTTTGTATCATGGCAAATATATGAAAGGTGGGGCCACAGTTAATCCGAGCGATCAGGGGAATCGTAATATTAACATGGTGGGTATGGAGGAAGCTGCTAATGCAGGAGACAATTATAACCTGATTGGCGAGAATTCCGGGAAGTGACCTTGATAGCAACATTCGTCTGATTTGGAGCTCAAAATGGTGTTAACGCTCTTCAGACTTATATCGCGGTCACGCGGTGGTTTGTTCGTCTGCCAGTGTTTATGTCGTTAATTGTTGCACTAGGATCATTGACATTTTAATAGTGTGTAAAAGTAAAAAAAAAAAAAAAAAAAAAAAAAAAAAAAAAAAAACCTTGTCCATCCTTATCATTTACAAATATGTGTTTCTTAAAGATATTACAAAGTTTTGGGAAATTTTGAAAAATGGGTGGATAGTGATTCTTTACAATTTTGATATATTTGGATGCCCCAGTGGATGTATTAAAAACACGAGCAATTTTAGCCCCTAAAACACTTCTGCTTTCGAGAAAAATTGAATACAAAGATTTACCGGTGCTCCCGGTAAATTTTGATGAATTTCAAATAGCTCCTACGGCCGTACAATGGTAGCTGCGACCATGAAAATCTCAGAGTATGTAGTTGTGGTATATAATTTCCGAACGACAATAACTATCTTGACCTTGAGAGGGGGCTATTCAACATAAAATGTTTATTATTTACATTTCATAACTTTAGAGTCGATTTCGACCGCGACAACGATCACTGAATATTGTAGGATCGTATATGCTTCCAATATGTTCATTTGAACCAAATTCATGACCCCATACCAAAACTTTGTATTACCTTTAAGCTAAGTTAAGTAAAGTATGTGATAAAGCTGTAAGCTATAATATGTCTGATTAATTTCAAATCTGTCATGATATAATGTAAGAAATTAGTAATGTATACACACATCAATAATTTGATATCGTACCCTCCTGTTGCCAATTTGTTGTTATTATATTGAGACGAATTATATTAAAGGTAGATCTTTATTTCATACATAAAAAATTATCAAATATTTTATTGTCTGGCAAACTGATTGTGTTTTTAAGGTATACCCTGTGTACATAGTTATTTGAGTTACAAGGAGGTTACTTGTATTGTTTCAAAATTGTTTGATATTTCTTTTAAAGTAGCATGATGATGATAAGGATTTGTGATGTGTAAACCATGTGCTAAATTCGAGTCACAAATATATTTGATTATTTGATGTTTCGTTATTGATGAAGATACAGGCTTCTTTTGTTCAATCGGGTCTTCGCGTCGGGACCGTTAGTCGGGCTAAATTATATTTTGTGAAAACAGGCCCCTGTTCTTCACGAAATGGTGGGTAAACTAAATGCAAATAATCACGGATGGTCCTTGAGATAAAGATAACTATTTTTACATGTACATAATGTACATTATATGTCTATAATGTTCTTTCGGTAACTGTGTTAATTTATTATGGGCGTTCCCAACTCAAGCTACGCTTTCCGGGTTTTCGCCTCCTTCCGTATCTGAATTAATTACTGTATACTCTATGTTGAAATAATTGTTACATATATCATGTATATATACATTGTGTTTTATATTGTGCTGTTGAGAAGGAAATAAATGTTAATAAATACAAATACAAATACAAAATACATTATTACTAGAATATAACAACGAATATTAGCGGCTAAAGTAGTAAATTCTGATTGGTTTCCGAACAAAATTAAACAGCAACAAACAAAAATGTGAAAACTTGTCTATACAATAACGTTGTTGTTGCTGCTGTTTTTTAAAATAGTATTTAGGCGTCTGTCATTTGGTTGTAAATATTTACGCCTATCGTATGAAATGTAAACTCTTTATATTTTTATACAATAATGAGAGCAAAGAAAAACGAAAGATCAACCAAATGCAATGATGATAGGCTTGTCCATGACGCATTGAAAAGTCCGAATATTAGAGTGACCAAGATTTCTTTGGGTTTACAAAAGGGCTAAATCGCCCTTTAGTTGATTTATCGAAAGTCTTCGCGATCGTGTTATAAACTGCCGTAAACGTATAATTTGCCGCTTAAAAATATTAACTGATATCTAAGATATTTGAAGAAAATGTTTTTAATAATATATTTGTACCAAAGCATTCATGTGCCATTTCTTTGGATGATCCTTAATTTTGTTCCGACGTTCAAGTATATATATTTGAAAGAGGGAAAACAAATTAATCTTGCTCCACTGGGTCAGATTGTAAATTATTTGTTTGTGAAAATTGTCATATTATCTTAATTTTTCCTAATTTCTCCTATTATTTTTATATTTTTTAAGATCACATCAGGTTGTTTGACATTTAAAGCTGAGCGAGCCATTTTATTTTTTGTACAATTTGTATTTAGGTTGGAATATAAGATTATGTTGCAGTGAATAATGTGAGAAGAGCAAATAAACATATATTGACTCATGTATACCATCAACGAGAATTTGTTTGCTTTATTTCTTTGTAATTCATTCACTAAAAATGATTATTTCTTATGGGATGCAAAGATCGTTTATATGGTCACACAACCAGAAAAACCTTGTCTGTTGCTTTTTTATTTGATTTATTTTTATTTCAGAACATAAAGAATAAACAATACAACATTTTGACATGTTCAAGGCATGGTTGATATTCAGTTTAAACAAGTTGTTCATAAATGCAATCCCATGACCAGTTATTCAACTTTACCTTTCACATTGTTAAATTTTGTAGAAATGACAATTGAGAAAGAAATGTTGAAAGTTCGACTGCAATCCATATCTATGGAAAAATATAAAAAATTAAAAAATTAAAAAATGTTCATGTTTGAGGAATTCAAAGAAAAGAAAGCATTAATGTGAGAGAGAGAGGAACAAAAGTGGGTTGTGGTCAAATAAACCCTCTGAAGAAAAATACAAGAATATTTACAAGGCCGCCATTGTCAATCATGTGAGTTGTCACAGGTTGTTGATCCGATGTTCCCGTCAGTATCGTGGTCCTTAAAGAAAGTGACTTGGTAACATTGTTGAAGGTTGGTGAAAGAAATTGCTTAATCTACTGTACTAACCCTCTGACATGCAAAAAATCCTGAAAAAATTCTCAATCCACGAAGATATCTAGGCCTATGGTTTTCTTTGAAGGCGTCGCTGTGCAATACCCTCTAACCGTAGTTAACAGTAAATTCTCCCAACCATTTTCGAATTTTCCCAACCGTTTTTCCATGAAAAAAATGACATAAACCAGGCTATTAAAATCTGTCAACACTTATTGTCTGAAATGGTATGTAGAGCCAATTTATTGCTTTGTGACGATTTAAATTCACCTAAAGTGTAATTAAATTGTAATAAAATAGTTGAGGGAATTAAGGAATCGATCAGATCAGTTTTTCCCAATTTGTATAATTAATAATGGTCCGTTTTCACTCATATTTACAGATTATCTTTACATCTCTCATTGAAGTCACTACCTTAGCACCACCAACTCTCATCTGAGCAATGTTACCAAGTCCCTTTAAAGAAAGGAACAGACGTCCTGCCACTCACGAGATCAACATTTTAGGTGTTTGCCTCTTTGGGTGTATTCCCTTTTAAAGATTTATGACTTTCTTGGTATTTATCAGAGGTATTACCGGATTATAATTGTTTGTTTAGGTAGGTTTGCCCTTTGCTTAAAGGTGTGGTTATTTATCCCTTCAGAAAGAAATAAATTAAACAAACAAGTCATGTACAGGCATGTTTTACAACTCCTATAATATTTCATCTGCCTTGCTACATTTTCCCTCGTGAAGATTTGTCTTTGATACTATAACCCAATTATTGGTACCAATAAAAATAACAGTATGTTATCGCATGCTTTATTATGAGCACATCCATGCATAAGATCGGTTTACAAACTAAGTCTTTTATTACAACAGTTTTTCAGGCGTGCTGTGGTAGTTGTTATGGTGCTGTTTATTTATTGTGACCGAATCAAAAAGGTACCACACCTACATTGCCCTGCTCTCACCAAGAATCCCTCAGATTGGATTGATATGGTTGTCTGACACGTTTTGGTTTTTGTTTCTCATCCGATACAATACACAACATCAAGAGCATTTCTTTAGTTTGGAATACATCAACATAAAAATTAAAAAAGGTAAGTTTGCACTAGTAGTAATTCTTGTCCATCATGAAAATGGAGTGAAGCGGAGAACTTAATGACATTTTTTGCACAAGGAAATAAAATGAATATTTCCCAGAGTGTTTTTCATTTGTGAATCTACGATTAATAGGTACTCTAGATTGACTATTGAGAACGTAACACAAAGCAAAGACACACAATTACTTTAAAGAAAATTTAAAGAAATAAGATTGAAAAGTTGTTGACTTTTCGATGTTATAAACTCCTGAAGAAAAACAATCATAAAAGGAGTTGGTGAAAATAATTATAACATTGTTCATAAATTCTAATTAGAAAAAGAAAAAACAGCGATGTGGAGAATTTAATGATATTTTTGCACCTAAAAATTAGAGAATTTCTTTTGACATTGTTTTTCATTTGAATATATCTACAATTCATAGGCATTAACAAAAATATACAGGGCGTGTTTCACTTTGCCCCGCGTTCCACTTTGCCCCGGGCTCCACCGCTTGGTAAATACGTTGACTTCGACACTCATCATTCGAACAACTGAAGCAGCACGCAGCACAACGTAGGATTTTATCATATTCATCCTTTAGTTGTGTTGAGATAGTTAATTCTATGAAATATCCATTCTGTAAATTCGTATTTAATCTTGTTCTCAATACAGAATGGCGCAATTATTGGAGAACAGGCAGCATGGCGTGGTAGCTTTGTTCGTTATAACCATAATTTACAAATCGATCATGATAACTGCTCAAACAACAAGTGCAGCAACGGTAATTACAGATTTGGAAACAGCACCTTTTCGGAGCACAGATACACCATTTACAACAGTACTGTCAACCACAGGCGCAAGTACACAGGTGAACACTGACATCATCGAGACAGCCCTTATAACAGAAACTGTTGATCCAAGTGCACCAACAGTTGCACCAGAAACCCCTGATCCAAGTACATCAACGGTGACTACTAGACGGGAAGAGATGTCTACTAAAGCGAAGGTTCCTACTA